TCGGCCGTCGTCTGCGCGTCTGTCAGTTCGAGTTTCTTCGACGGGCAGCTGTCGCCTCCCGTGGCGGGGCCGCTAATCTCTCCAGCGTCGGCCGCGGGGCGCTGCGCCGTTTGGAATGCTTTATCCGGCGCGAGGGGAACGCCCGCCATCTTCCTTTCACTTTCGGGGCGGCCTGGGCTGTTGTTTCCCACAGCGAAAGACAATCAACCGAACAATTTCGGGGCCCATGCCGCGGCTCCCTAATGCGGGGACCACTCCGGCATGGGCCCTCCACACCACCTCCCAATTTTCCCCACTCCACAAGTTGCGCTGGTGCCGCAATACTCATCGCGCTTCGTGCACCGATGAGAAGCCATGGCCGCGGACGCACACCATCGCACATTTCCCGGCCGTCCCCGCCGAATCCGTCGGCGATTTATTCCCCCCCCCCCCCCCATGACGATTGAATTAAGTAATTTCGCGGCGATGTCGCTGATATATCGACACATCCTGCGGCCGGGGCGCGGCGTCATCCATCACCTCTGTTGCATGGCGAGCCGAGTGTGACGCGGCGAATCCGACGCAGCATCGCGGCGGAAGCGGCCATTCGTCACCGGCCGCGATATCTGATCGGCGCTGCCCCAGGCGGGCCGGCGGGTCGGCCGCCGCCGGGAGGGGCGCCGTTAGCCGGGCCCATTGTGTACGCGCCGGGACACCACATCGCCGAGAAAAACAGCGCTGCTCCTGGGAGGCGGCCGCCGGTGTGGCTCGGGCAGATTGGCTACGGTGCGCGGCAGGGCCAGCTGCCCGGCCCAGCGGAGCCCCGGCCGCCGCGCTGCGCACGGTGGCACACGGGCCGATTCTGTCCGGTGGTGGTATCTGTTTGGAGAGCGGCCTCGCTGCCACCTGCGGCTGAAGCTGATTTTGCCAGGCGTGGGGTCCGGGGTAACACGCGTGGAGTGGCCCTGAAAACAGAAGGCCAGCTGCAGCGGCGCCAGATTGTGATGTGTAGCACCAGGTGAACACGGACAGGGTGACATAGGACCCTGTTCTGCGGCGGGTAGACCCCGGCATCACATATTTAACATGCAAAGTGGTGTACTACAACTGGGTGTGACTAGACATCATGTCCATCCAATACCGACAAAGAGTTTAAACAAGATCAGAGCTTAGAAACTTATGTGCAAGTTGTTACGACGAATGAAAAGATGAAAAGGCCAAACAAATGCACCGCGTTTTAAATCATGTTAAAAAGTTTCATAGGTCTCTGTTATGCTCTGGAACCAGCTGTAATTATTTTTAGAAAGATAAAAGAAACGATCGAGAAGTCACGGTCTCTGGCATTTTTAGAGCCACCAAGCAAGCTTTCTTCTGTGGGCCAGTAATTCAACGCGGATTAAAGAGAATGGCACGAGACTAGACGCTGCTGAACTTGAAATGAGCCCAGGCCTGGTCACGTGACCTGCTTTGAGCTTGGGAATGTTTTAAAAAAATTGTAAGATGCAGAAGCAGCTTCAAATAACCTGATCACAGGGCGAAATAGTTTCTAAGGGTAACTCCGCTGTACTTACGAAGACCACGAATGATACGCAGGGTTGCACGCATATAGTAGCCCCGGATGCACGTGTCTCCTCTCTGCATCAAATCTATTGGCATCTTGAACGTGTGCGCGTCTGAATGTTGACAGGAATGGGAGGTAATATATATATATATATATATATATATATATATATATATATATATATATATATATATATATGTGTGTGTGTGTGTGTGTGTGTGTGTGTGTGTGTGTGTGTGTGTGTGTGTGTGTGTGTGTGTGTTGTGTGTGTGTGTGTGTGTGTGTGTGTGTGTGGTGTGTGTGTGTGTGTGTGTGTGTGTGGTGTGTGTGTGTGTGTGTTGGTGCGTGTTGTGTGTATGTGTGTGTGTCTGTATATATTGATATAAAAAAACAAATGAGGGTCAGGAGTAGCAGTATTTTAGTTCTACAGATAGCCACGGATGCTTTCTTATTTTGGGCGCCTTTGTATTCAGACATAGTGTGTGAGCGAGCGAATGAAAAGTTACACTGGTCAGACCAAAGCCGAGGTAGTCTGGACGGCTCGTTTGCTTGCTTGCTTGCTTGCTCGCTTGCACGCGTAAAACGTGGAGTTTCTCACGATCACGAAACATACTACGTCAAGCAATAGCTCCCCACATGTTTTGTTTTCTTTTTTTTGCTTTTTGGGGTTATGCAGTGCTTATAGGCTGCGCTCAAACGTAAAACATGATGTTTTAGTACGGATGGATTCAGTTATGTTTATATCATAAAATGCACGCCAAAGATAGTATCAAAATGCAATGTAGCAGTCTACTCAAAGTAGATTAAGAAAAACATGCATCACATGCTATGAAAATGTAGTACATTTGTGAGTTTGTTGAAAGCGTAGCCAAGTCAATGATCAAGTTCTTAAGATCACACACACAGACACGCACACGCGCGAGCGCGCGCGCGTGTGCGCGCTTAAAGGGGTCATTTGAGGAAAAGGGTGGTTGTGAAAAAATCGTTGAGCTGACAGGGGTCCAAAATACGGTGTGTGGTGACAATTGTTGAAAATCGCGTATTGTGTTGCTGAGGAAGCCATATTGATTGCATAAGCTTGACATCTTCTGGACGTGGTGTTTGCTGTGTGAATGCAATCATGCCCGCTTACGGAATGCACCGTTACCATTTAAGGTGATGTTTGCCTGCAGCGAAGAAGTTGTTGTTGCATTGTCATATATTCAATGCTTCGGATGTCGATTCCTTAAGCATACCCAGGTCCGGTTTTTTGGCGATCATCTAGTCCGGGGCGTTCGGTGCGTAAGACAACTCCGACGGGCGAAGGCCAACAGGAGAAGTGCATGTAGTCTCCATCCTTTTTCTGCATTTGTAAGGCGGCAACCGAGGTAAGCCAGTTTGGGGCCCCTAGCATAGACAGTGCACTAAAACACTTTCAAGGAATTCCCGCATAGATAAGGCACTGCAAAACCCAGGAACGGTTATGTCGAGCTATTGCTCGATACAGTGTGCATCGGGTGGCGACAGGCGCGTGTGGAGAAAAACGGCATTTGAAACAATAAATTAAACAAATGAGGCACTCAGTATGTCTAATCCATGCTACGAATGCTTTCACTAGCATCAGTGCACGTTAGTGACACCAGTGGAATGCCCACTTCAGATTCCCACATGATAAGGCCGTATTATGTCATGTTGTCTTTCATCGCTTAGCTGGGTATGCGAGTGTGACCGATTACGACATGGATTATTATTTTGCATGTGGTTAGTGGGCGTTGATGTACGGTGTCTTGCGCCACAGTAAGTCTTGACAGGAGCGCACTTGACCGTTCATGGGAGGTGGATATTTACCACGCTAGTTGTAGGTGAAAGAAGTAAACGAAAGACAATTTTACGAGACGCACATTTGGACATGACATGGTGCACTGATCAGCATATGACATTCAAACAGCTTAACAAAAATGCATGATTTAGCATCACCCACAAAGTGAATAGCTCGAACGGTCCGGGCGTAAAGGGCACATCTCCCATCAGTATTGAATCAGATGCGCATATCTAGGTGTACTGACGGAGATCCAGTGGTAAATAGCCATCGGAATATCATTTGCATGGTCTTAGATAATGTCGAGGGTGTTTTCCGCAGCTGTGCGCGCAGACGATCTGAAATGTAAGCACCCCTCTACAGATTTGTGATTATCGTATTCCTGTCATCCGTGCCCTCCTTCTCCCCCCTCTCACCAATCAAATAAAGTGGTCGCCTCAGGGCTCTCCAGCAGAGACGAAAAAACAGCAGGCTGCTTCAAATCAGAGACTGTGCCACAAATCATGTTGCATCCAAACCTGATTCGGACCAATAGCTGCCGATGGTCCTGTCTCATCAGTCAAATTATATGACTAAATTATTATACTTGTCAAATGATCTCAATTGAAACAGTTTTTCCCAGACAGGTAGGCGCCAACGAAAACTTGGTAGCCTGTCCACGATGGTGACGCTAACGTACATATGAAGGGAGAGGGCAGAGCTGCACAATGTGTACGAAAGTTGGGGGCGCAGGCCACATCTCAGAAGCACACAATGAATTGATTAAAGTGCTTTTTAGCATTCTATTGGGGTGGGTCACCCCTCACATTTGGGAGCCACGGCCGGCTTTCAACAACATCAAACCCCTGCAAAAGAACATAGAGAGCCGCACGTGCCATGCCGGGGCGATCAATCGAGCCAGCTCTGCGGCTACGGTTGGTTGGTGCCCCACCCCTCCGTGGCACCCCATCTGATGCATCCGAATGCAGTCGGGGGTGTTTTGTCAAGTCGCGCTAACAGGCCTGCTGCGACAGCTTAATGCGCCTGACAACGGATGGGGTGCGCCACCAACTGCTGCTCTCCGCGCTTTTGATGTTCATGCAAAGCCTGCCATCACAGTCCTTCCCTGAAGACAATGGAAGCATAGGAACCCGGGAGATAAGAGTGAATTGGCAAAGACTTGGAAACACGCATTGCAGTCAGAGAGACCAATTTAGAAAGTGGAATTTGTATGTGGCACTCGCTACGGCAGATAGCTGCCTTCTCCGAGCACTTGCCAGCCCGTTTGGCAGCCTCGATTGCAGGCAGCAAGAAAACGCTGGGCACATCTGCCTCTCCCTAGTTTGGTAATGCCGGAATGCATTGCCGAAATCATCGTTAAGGACTTCGCTGAACTTGCGATGTTTTTCGTAGCGTGCGGGCTGTCCGCATGCCTGAGACAGTCGCACAGGCTTAAAATCTTTGGCAGCCAAAACAGGACACGAAGGCCTTCGCCAAGCCTTTTGCTTCCCCCACCACG